TACAACTTCTGTTTATCAGCAGTCTGGGGGAAAAAAAAAAAATCATAGAAGAAAATGTTGGCTCATTTTATAAAGATTAATGGTGTCTACTGTACTTTCACACATACCTCCTCCCCAGCCTGTTGGCTTTATCCATCAGAGCCTGGGGGGGATGAACAACTCACGCTGGAGTTCTGCCCCCTACCAAACTTTGACGGTGGGCACTAAGGAGTTTAAAACCCCGTCGCATTGCAGCAGTTGCAAGCTGTGGTTTTCTGTGCTGTCGAGGTGACTAACAGCAGCACCCTCTCCCCTCGGCAAGGGGACAGGTTGGTGTCGCACCTCTCTAACCACCCTGCTCGCTGCCGGTAGCTGCTATCAGCGCCGCCATCGCGCCGGCAACTGACATCTGAGCTCCCCCAGCCCCTGGGAAGTGACAGGACGAGAGAGACTCATTTGGCAATACTTTGCTCTTGCTGTTTGGCCTGGAGAAAGATGCTCAAAGTGGGAAGATTGTTTAGCAACAGCTGGCAAGCACCCGGGTGTGAGCCTGATTTTCAGACATGACAGGCACTTACAGGAATGTTGCCAGATACAGCTGTTTAAAAGCCTTAATAAACAGCAAGTCAATACTAATCTTTGCCAAATTAATCTTTTTCTTGACAGCCCATCAGAGCAATTATGCTCAGACTCGTTGTAAACACACAATTGTCAGAGGGTAAGGATCTTCTCTGTGGTATACTCTGGATTTTTGCACACAGCAGCTTGTTTTCCAAATAGGAAGGTTTCCTTTTCTTTTCCTCTTCCTCTCTTTTTTTTTTCCTTTTTTTTTTCCCCCTCACCTATTTTATTTTCTAGCCAATTTACATGTTTGCCAGCTTGGTATTAGCCTGAACGAAATTTTCTTTGCAAAGTGTCTATCGCAGCAAGCCCTTAATAGAATGTGAAATGATGACAGTCGCAGGATCCATGCAGATGCACATTTGCTAGTGGGTTTCTCTAATTAGGCGGTAACTGTGACAGACTCTGAAATGTTACAAGTCATTGTTCTCACTTGTCCTCTTGTCGGTGGAATAAGAACTACATTTGAGTTGTGATTTAATGTGCTGCTGGGTAATAATAAAATACATGACTCTGCAAAGGGAAGCAAATGCTGCCTGTGAGACCTGACACAAAGCACCTCGTGTTCTCCGAGGTGCTCAGCACCTCCTGCAGCACTGTCAGCACACTGCTAGACTCACTAAATAATATTTTATTTAAATGCAAAAGGACTTGAAGACACCAGATAAATAATTAACAGGGCAGTGGTTGTATATCTATGTTTCTCTGTATTTATCCATCTCTCTATCGATCTATCTATATTTATATATCTATCTCTATATCTCTGTCTCTGTCCATATCTATACGTATCTGTATATATCTATACCTATATCTGTATCTACATATCAGTGGGAGTTCTGGGAAATAACTCCTGTATGGGTTACATACAGCTCTTTAGCTACTTCTCACAGTGTGTGCAAAATAAGGATTTTTACTTACTCTGTTTCCCCAAAGCACAGAAAGAGATCTCCATGGATCTGCCATGTTTACAGGATCAGGTAAGAAATAGTCAGATAGAGTCTGGGAGATGGTAGTTCAGGTTGAGATGAAGTCTCAGAAGGTTGAGAAAGGTGGTAAGAGCATGTTTTACCTTCCAGTAATGAGCTCTTTTACTGCTGGGTTTCCTGTTTGCAGAGGAGGCTCGCAGGGAATATTTGGCAGAGACACCATTGGAATCAGGAACGGGTATTTGGTGAGAGAGAGGGAAGTGGGCACGAATACATTAGGTTTCATTGTGAATGGCTGGGGCCCCCCATGAATACATTACTTACTGCTTGTGGATGAATGTGGGGGGAGAAGTCCTACAGCAAGTACCTTCAAAGAGCTTCTTTGGGTCAGAGGCAGCAGCTGGGTGGGATTTCTGCTCAAACCTCTGTGAGTTTGGTGATGGAGAGACTGGAACTCACGTTGCTGGAGCGGGGCACTCAGAAAGCAGCAGTAGATTTGAAGTGCCTTTCCTCTTCAAAACCTCTGCTTACCTTGGTGCAAGCAAGGGGGATTTACATCTTCCCAGGTGGCTATATTGCTAATTTTGCATTTTGCCTACCATGTTTATAAAAATAATTAAAACCCCCCTATTAATTTCAGTTGATGGAAGACATTCTGACCCTTGGTTTCTACCACTTTGACAGATGTCTTTATCATATTTACTTGCTGTTACTGTGTTGCTTCAGTGTGTAGGTTGTTGCGTTCCTGTGTGCTTTCTCATTACCGTCGTTACGACAGATGGCGACTTACAACCAGTGACTTGGGTAAGCCTGTTACTGTGGTGACCAAGCCACCGCGCTTCAGCGAAGGATGGGGCATATCTTCATGAACTCCAATGGAGTTTCACCTGCTTACGAAAGGATCTCAACCTTTTAGGCTCTGCCTATTGACAATTTGTATCTGTCAATACACAGCTGAAAACAAGCAGCAGATTGCCCTTGACCGGCAACCATTGCTTTTTCCCAAGGTCAGACATGAAGACCTCACATTTAGGCATCGAAGTTGAATCTCTCCTTTGGAACAAAGTGGCTTCAGTATAACCCTGGCCAAAATTGCTGCTCTTCCAGCATAGCTGTCCAATCCAAACAGAGCCCAGACACAAAACCACACGCAAACCACCGGACGGGTAAGGTGCTGCCCAGTAAACACACTGCAGGTTTCCCTTCTTACAGATGACGAGACACCAATTAGCCAGAGGTTCATACAGAATAAGTATTTTATTCATGATGTATTTTTTTTTTATTTACATTAAAGTTTTCTTGTATTTTGAACTCTGCTTGGATACTGAAATCAACAACTTTATGTGACTGCGCACCTGCTCTAAAAGAAATGGAGATAACACAGTTCTTCTCCGTAAAAGAAAAAGGAAAACTGCCTGTCAAAATCAAAGCTGATTTTTCTCATCCCCGGTAATTATCTTCTCGCTTTAGAATTAATATGAGTGGCAAATGTAGTTTACTATAATATAATAAATAGAAGACATTGGGTAATTAGTAGTGCTGGTATATTTCTAAAGTACTAAACAGACAAACAATAAACTGTGAATTTAATCATGAGTTCTCAAACAGTTTTAAGACAGGAAAATTAGAGCTCTCAGCTACAGTCATTTGAGTAATCACATCTGATCTGCATTATTTATTAGTTATTACATGCCAAGTGATTCCGATTGTACATTGCTTGAAATCATTCCGAAGCAAGCATACCTTTGTTTCTGTTTTGCTTTTAAATAAAAACCAATGGCATTGCATAATATGTATTTTATCCGAGTGGCTTTCTTTAATTCGCATAGGAAATACAAATCAGTGGTACTCTCCATTAACTGGACAGGCATCTGGGATGAAATCCTCCAGAAATATATCTTCAGAGCTATCCTTGATCCAAAACATCGACAAAATACCTTCTTTTGGATTTTTCTGTCCCTTTCCCTGTGGCTGTTGAACTTACCTTTCACTTTACGATGTATTTGTGATACACTCCCTAAAACTCTGTAGGACCTTTTGCATGTATAATAAAATGGCTGAAGCATATTTGGTAATATTTTTATTCCACTGGACTAATTAACCAAAACTGATGAAGTTTCAAGAAGCAGCATTATGCAGTTTTATTCGGTTAGTTTTGTTGGTGCAAGTCTTAGGTTTGGGCAAATTGCTGCTACAATGCTTCAAAAAGGGAATTACTTAAAATACCTTTTTTCTTTTTTTTTTTTTTTTTCCCCTTAACAACCAAAGAAATACAGAAATAAGTATTGGTTACCTTCATTTTCTGCCAGTAAAGCAGGTTTGGTGTTATATATGTCACTGTAAAAACTAAATAAAGTATTCACATCAATTGTGAACAATTTGTGCCAGCAAAAGTTAAAGCATCAAAGAAACCTCTTTAAAATGCTAACAAATTTACTTACAAACACCTATATTTATTATTTCATAAATAGGCGCAACAGGTTCCATAAAAAAGATTAAATACAGACACAGTATGAAGAAACAATAATACATAGCCATATGTAAAGGTTATAATTTAGCTGTCTCCAATCTGTTTCTGCATCTAATAAAATATCAGGTAAGCATTTGGCAGTTTTATACATAAAAGGACTTAGATGACGTTTACTAACCAGTACACATAAAGTGATTTTCTTTAAAAAAAAGAAACATTTTTTAGGCAGTACAAAATAAATGTGTTTGCTCTTTATCAACATTAGGTTTTTTTCCTAGTTTTTTGTATTTATTTCATGAGACAAAGCCAATATTTTTAATTAATATAATTTGGGAATATTTTACTTTTTTTTCTCCAAATACTTTGAAAATATAGAACTATTAGTCAGTTGTTTAAAAATGAAGTAAAAATATGAATGTTTGCCAATTTAACCCTTGTTGTGAAATCAATAAACTGGAATGAGCCAGTTTCAATTACAATTAGCTACAAAAACATTCACATTTTATACTCTAGGAGAGTGTAACATAGATGCTATTTACAAACTTGCTATGACTGCTACATCAAGCCATTTAAAAAGTCTTTAGTAGTTTCATATAAACACCCATTATGAAAAACCAATGGAAAATCCAGGACTTTTATCCGAGACATCTACAGTTGCTAAGGCAGTTACTATCGCAGCACTTCACAGCAAAAACCAACATAAAATCTGAATGGTCCAAGTTTCCTTCGGGGAAGAAGAAAAGCAATGTCCGTTAAAGGATCTCAGAGTAGGGGTGGAAAGGGGAAAGAAAGAGAAAAAATGGGGGCTAAAAAAAAAAAAAAGAAAAAAGAAAGAAGCAAGACTATTTTTTCCAGAGTGGGTGACCCACAAGCTCAAATAGTCCTAAGTGCTTAGCAACTTGTATTTCCTAATAAAATGCAGAACTGCCTTGACTGCATAAAGCAATCCATGACGAAAAGACTTCCCTGCATTCCTCAGTGGAAAGGAGAGGTGTTTCAGATTTTCAGGTAAGGTAGAGTGCTTTGTCCCTCTGCATGCCCCTGTTCAAACAGAAAAAGAACCAATGTGATTTTTTTAAAAAAATTGTCAAAGTTTTCATCCTATTCTTCCAAACCCCCTCCCCCCCCAACCTTACTGCATGTCATTAATTCCAAGCATATCACTGAAGTACAGCTGCATTACCATGGTAATAATAAGAAAAATCCTACTGGCATGTAGTAACCTGGACACCACATCTGGCTCTAAACTACAAGGCCTGGGACATGGGTTTAAGCCCCGGTTTGGGATCACCTGCACTGACCATCCCTCTTCACAAATCACATAGGTACAGCTGAGGGTTTAGCACAGGTCTTGGAACGATATGATACTCTATAAGCACCTTATATGATGTGGCTGCTTTTCTTAAGAGTGCAAGAGAGCTCAGTTACATGAACGTGGGTGCCAGCCACTGGTATCCCTGGCCTATTTTATTTAATAGTACAGACATAGCCAAAATGTGTTGCGTTGGCAGGTTCAGGTAAGCACACACAAGGGAACACCAGAAGGTTCTGGCAGAGCCAACTAGACCAGCTCTTTACTGGAGACCAGGCTCTCCAGGAGGCCTTCCACCAATGCACTGGGTCTAGCACACTTCTACATTCAGTTCTTGCTGGGTTTCAGCAGTAATTTAACAGTTTCTAATTTGGAACAGTCTTTAGAAGTCAGAAAAAAATGCATCATTTAAAGCAGAAGAAGCATCGCTGATGGGGTGTGGTTCACACTGCAAAGATTTTCTGTGAGGGAGCCTTAACGCTCAATGTCCTGCTTCCTTGCCAAACACAGGCACCAGTTCTGCTCTTCCACAGCTTTACAGCTTACTTGGTTTGGAGTCTGGGAGTGGCACAAAGCAAGCTACACTACACTGCCATGCTACGCTATAGCAGAGAGAGCTTAAATCCATGCACACAGATTCACAAAGGCATATCTACGGATGGTATGTACAGGGTCTGCTCAGAGAAAGCTTCTGCTGATGGAAAGTTATGCCCAGTGGGCACCTGGAGGGCACTGCTGGCAATGATCGCACACTGCTTTTTTCCAGAAGAGACCAGGAGTCAAAGCCACAGGTGGCTACGGCCTGTTTGACAGCGGACAGTTTATTCAGAGCTCAGTGTAATTGGGTGTAAAATTCTGGGAGCTGGGTAGGCTCCTGCAAGGCCCTGCAGCACAGATCAAGACATTATGGTGGTACAGCACAGAAGTGAGACTGCTCTGCTGGACAAGTGGGCAAGTCACGGGGCAGCAGTGATAGGTATGGGGCAAAGTGATGCTGCTGTGCAGCCTGGTTAAAGTCTGCCTCTGTGTCAGCAGGTTCTAGTCAAGGTGTTACTCTGAACTAGTAACCAAAAAAAGATTTTTGTTCAGTTCAAGTCTGAGTTCCAGAAATAGTTTAAACCAATAATGCAAGTGAAATTCTCAGTTTGAGTAAATGTAAAGGGTGAAACTGCTCTTTAGTTCTGCTTTGTGTTCATTTGTCTGGGCTGGATTTGGTGCTTTGGTAGCAACCAAGAGCTGTTATCTGCCTCTGCCTTGGGGATTTCATGCCAAGGTCAGGCTGGTGGGCAGGTTCACAAGGCACAACATGGATCATTTAAAACTCAAAAGATACCTTCTGCTCAGAGTCTTAAATGTTTCCAGGCAGTTCCTGGGACAGTAACATGGCTCCACAAAAACCACACTGCAGAGGAGCTGAGGGTTTGAAGAGGCTACTAACCTTATGGTAGGGGCACAGAGCTCCTACAGGTACGGTGTTTTGTTTCTGGTTACAGTCATGTGATCTTCATGCCATTCCCTTCCATGTATCTTGTATCCCATGCATCACCCCTGCATCTCACTGATGTGGGTTTTCATGACCCAAACTAGTTGTTTTCACTGGCAGCAACCTCTCCTCAGCAATGAAGTACTTGGAGAAAATAGTTCACGCCATTTGCCACTCAAGGAGGAGGTAGTGATCTTAACACTTCTTTCCTACACCTTCTCCCTAAGATTTCAGTTCTGAGTTTCTAAGGAGTGGAAGTTCTCTAAGACCAAAGTGTTTGTGCTGTGATAAGGTGACAATTTCTAATAAATGTATGTATTGAAAACTTGTTCTCCCATAACAGCCTAACTGCTGCATAAATACGGTACTGCCACAGATGCGCTTCTGAAATACTGCAGGGAAACAGGCAAAAAAGCCGCTTCCAAATGCTCTGTCAGATACTTGTGTCATGAATGTTGCTCAACACAAGGTGGCATTCACTGGCTGCTTACCCATTACTGCAGTAGTCATTATTCCAGTCCACAGTCTGTGCTGGAGGATTTCTGCACCCTGAACGAACATACTCCATTGCTTGGGTAACAACTTGTGCAGCTGTTGATGTTGGATTGATGATATTCTGATAATCAGGCTGAAGAGTAAATCCCTAGAGAAGAAAGCAAGTACATTACGATGTAGGTTGTAGGGAAACCCAGCAACAGGTTGGGCACATTAAAAAAAAAACCCCAAACTGTGTGTACTGTGAAATGGTACAATGCCTCTTTTCGAGGTGTACTTTAGGTTATCGAAATTAAAATAGGAAAAAATGTGTAAGTGCTTTCTAAGTTTTAAGATCTTTCCTTGGTTTGAGAAATGAAACTCTGCTAAATCGTTGTTAGCTATTACACAGTCACAGGATGGAACCAAAAGGGACGGAGCAGAAACAATTCAAAACCAAGAGAACAACTCAATCAGCACTGGGGCAAAGAGGTCTGTTTGCTCCTTAGAGCTTCCATTTAAATTAAACGTAAGGACACACACAAGTCGTTAATGCCCAGAATATGCAACAGAATCTTTTTGAAGGATGTAGGCAGCAGGTGGCTGACTGTTTTATTAGACTACACCTATTCACATATTGTTCTCAAAACCCTTTTTCTTCATTCAGTCACAAAGGGACCATCTGCTGCTTCTTTTATTTGTACTTCTCTCTCAACTAAACAGAAATTCAAGCAAAGCTTTTTAACAGTTGTTGGACTAATGTAGTGAAAGTAGCACAGAATAACTTGCTTTTTGAAACCAAGAAGACAAGAAAAAAAAAAGTGGTAGTTACAAAGAGACATCTAACCTGCTCCCTGAAATATGTCATATGAAAAGTCATAATAATTTTTAGCTCTTTTGATACACCAGAATGTTTAAATGCTGTGTTTCAAGCCAGGAGAACAATTGAAATTTCAAGGCTAGTGTATCTGGTTCACCCTGTATAAATGTACATCATGTTCCTGTAAAGTTAGAAGAACTACACTGCGCAAAACTATGGGAATGCTGTACAAAAGCAATCGACGTCTGCTGAAAAAAAACCAGACCAAACTCCTTCCTGGGGCAAGCGCATGCAATTCCCACTCAAGTTAACTGGATGTGTAGCTGCTAAACCAGAAACTGAACTTGAACCAGGATACCTAGTTTGAAAATCCTCTCCTTCCAGCCAAAGTCCACATACAGAATAGATAGGATTAAAGCTCATGGCTTTTAGTTTTAAATTCTAGTGGATTATGTGTGATCGCTTCATATTCATATCCAGCCTTCATTAAGACAGCAATTTAGGGAAGGGCTTTTTTTGTTTTCTGGGAGTTTAACAACTCAGCCACGCTACCTTTCATTGAGATAAATGAGTACTCTCAGTTCCCCCCTGGCTCCCTTCATCCCCAGAAAAGAGCTTCCTTCAAATACAACACGCCACTTCCTTCTTCACAGCCCTCTTTCTTGGCGCATTATACTCCAGATCTCCCCTGCAGGTCCCGCAGGTGTTCTGCCCTGCCGTGCCTCTCGTGCACACCGTCACCTCGCTCCAGCCATCCTGACTGCAGATCCTCGCCCAGGCTGTAAGTGAGCGCAACCTTCTTCCATAAGCTCTTCCATATGGAGAATATCCCAACTCACACCTCAGTACCTTAAATGCTCTCTGAAGCCTCATTTTGTCCATGATGACTCCAAGAAACAGACCATTAGTAGTGGGCAAGTTCACGAGATGAATTCAGCATCTAGTTGTCATGTAACATATAGTGCCCTGCTAATAAGGTAAAATAAAACCCACCCGTGGGGACTGTAACCCCTGTGCTCTGTACACAGCCTTTTCACCAGACTCTAAAACTGCATGTCAAGCTGCATAAACAACCCCCATGCCTGCAATGAATCCAAAGGAAACTGTAATTGAGCAGACTTCCCGATGACTTTAATTGGAGTTACGTGTAATTAGAAGGCAAAAAAATTGGTTTTGAATATCACCGTCATCATCGTTCTACAAAACACCACCCGTAAGGCCTTTCTAATTTAGCTGTAAGAGGAAACTAGCCACAGAAACATCCTACCCTCAGGCACTCAGGTTTACCTTCGGTAGCAAACCCCCTGAGCCATCTCTTGTTGGTCTTCATGAAACCATTATATACACAAGAAAACCACTATATGGGCTCCGTAGCTCCAGCAGTGCTGTAGCAAAGCATGCAAGTGAGCAGGCACAGAGACTCAAGCCTCAGCAAGAAGAGGACAGTTCCCCAAATGAGAGGAAGTGACCGTCAGTGCAATATCCATTCCATTTCTTCTGGACTTAGGACAAATAAATAGCTTAGATACAGGAGGATGGGCCTGCAGCTTAAATGCCAGCTTGGAACTGGGTGGGGACTTATTCTCGTATTTGCTCAGGTTTGCTGTGTGACCACAGCCAAATGGCTTTGGCTTTCTTCCAGCGACACATGCGTGCATTTGTGCTTGGACTGCATTGATGCCTCTTGATGTTAAGGTCGAGACCATGGATCCAAACTTAATTCTCCTATCTGCAGAATAAAGGGTAACACCACTTTCATCTTGCACCTGGCCAGTCTGTTTAGTTTATAAATGCCTGGGATTGGGGCCTGTTTCTTTGGACGTGCTCACGTGATAAATTTTAACATGGTGCTCCAGGCTCTGCAGACGTGGTCTGAGCTGCTGAGAGGCAGCACCCAGCACTGGCCAGCATGGAGCCTGGTGGAGGGCTATGGGAATACCAGCAGAAGAAGTAATAACGTGGGTGTTAGAAAGCATGCTTGTTAAGGCAAAGTAATTTAAGAAACCTGAACTCAACATGAAGGACCGATAAAGTATGGGGATGCTTAAAATGTAAACAATAATTACTTCAGCTTTTTCATCAACAGAAAAAAACTCTGGAAATATAGATCTGTACAACAGAGGGACACAGCCTTGTACCAGGCGTGTAGTGAATATTTGTGTATTATTTATGTAAGCCCTTAACAAACAATGATGAAATAAAAGTGCTCAGAAAATGAATGCTTCGAGGTCTAATTAAACAATGCTGAAAGTTTTTGCATTGTAATGCTCAAGAGAAAATCGCCAACTGTTTTGCAACATGCCTAGAATTTTAAATTTAATTTTCTTGTTCCAGATTGAAATAAAAATAGGGAACTTGATAAAGATTAATTCGATGTCAGGAGGGACATTTGCTCTTTAATTAGATTTCTGTAGCCCTAGCAGTTTCGTTGTGCCACTGTAGCAAGTCCTAAAAAGCCTGCAGCAGAACTAAACAGTGATCCTCATCTCCACACTTTACTGGGAACTAATTTCATTTCCTGCCTGTCTGGAGAGGTATTTTCAACAGGCATCAATGTTTTTGTCTTCACAGCTGATTTATTCATCAATCTCAATGTGATATTTTAAACCTTTAAATTACATCCAAATCCTAAAGCATCTGTTTATTACACAAGGAAATTGAAAATCTGTCTGTGTGATATCATACAAAGATTTTTCCTTAAGGTTATAAAGGAAGTTGACAGATATTAATGATTTTTCTTTCTCTTGACCTCATTCGAAGACAAAGCGTCACAAAAAAGGAGAAGAAATCTGGACAAATACAGCAGGTCCCTGAGTTTACTGTATATAATATATACCAGAAAAAATGAGGCTATTATTTTTGGCAGGCTATGCAATCATCTTGCTGTATACATTTATTTTCCAAAGGAAAAGAAATACCTAAAAGTAGACTGAAATGAGTTATTATTTAAAAAAATAAAAAATAAAATGTGACATACATTAATCTTCTGCTTCTTTGTTATGCACACACTTGCAGCCATGGTTACTAGACATTAAGAATCGAGTTTTGCTTGCTCTACTTTGGAACCGAAGTGGGACAGAGATTTTAATGGGACTCACCATCCCACCCAGTGTTTGGGTGAAGGATTTTAAGCAGGGAAGGAGATGCTTCCAGTAGGGCTACTTAAAAGGCTTCCTCAACAAGGACTGGGCATATTTGGGAGGAGTGAATCCTTGGTCTCATCACAGTCCACACAAAAGAGCACAGTACAACAGGCTGGAGAGGGGGGCATGTTCAGAGCGAAGCACAAGTGTCTTTAGGGAAAGGGAAGAATGAGTTTGTAAGGGAAAACAGGTTGCAGCTTCAGACACCATTCTAGCCTGAATTTTGGAGAAACTGTGCTGATTTGAGTAACAACAGTTAAGATTCAGATCACCTGATTCCAACCAAGTAAAAATTAAATATCATGTCAAGCCCAAGAAACAGACTGGAGAGAAGCAACTCTGTATCAGTTAAAAAATAATAAAGTGGTAAGATGCTCACATGAGCATTTAATGAAAGAAACATCACACTCGTCTAATCTACTGAGATTCTTCCAGTGTGTCTAAAGCAGATGACAGAAAAACTGCCATGCAGTGGATTTAGACTTTAACAAAGTAAAACTTTACCACAGCTCCTGTTAATATTATTCAAGAAAAATATAGTATATTTCAGAATTAGAAGTTAAATATCATCCAAATCAAGATCTATTTAAATCTAAGTATGAGAACAGAACTAAATGGTCATTTTTTACAGTGTAAAAGGATTAACACTGTAAACGAGCACCCCAAAGTAATGCCTATCATTTAATTTATTCATTAGCTGTTTTGGAACAAAAAGGAATAGACAAAATAGTCTACTTTGCAGAAGTTACAAAAAATATTTAGATAACTGAAACTAGAGAAGATTGTTTAAAAGAAATTAAAAAATATTTACTAATGCTAGGCATATGACCAAAATGCTAATACCTAAATTTTACTTTGCCTTGTGCATTACAGAACAATTTGGATGCATTGCATCAGCTGCATGCTCCACAGAATTAATTGATTTTTCAAAAGAACAGAAATTGTGCAGTCACTGAGGACTTTTGGCTACCAACACTTCTGATCTTCTTGATGTTCTGTAGTTTCTGTGGACTCCTGGAGGAGATTGCCCTTCTCCAGCTGGCAGTCTCTCTTGGTTTGGTAGCTGCACACGTACAGGCAAGGGCCGCTGGAAGTGGAGGAGGACATGTGGTTCCCCGAGGCGCTGACAAAGATCACCTCATTGTCCTGGCAGCAGTGGGGGCAGAACTCTCTTCCCAGGACAGCACTTCTTATCCATCCCTCCTCAAAGTTATGCACAGAAGAGTTTGTGGATTTCATGCACAGTGGTTTTGCAGAACTGTGTTCCTGCCTGCCAGGACTGAAATCTGGATCTTTTCTTGGAGTTGGCAGTCCTTCAGACATACTACAAGACAGTCTTTGATAAGAAACTATTCTCCCTCTCCTGGAGAAAAGGAGTGACCAAATCTCCCAGAGCCACAGTGTTAAAGCAGGGGATCTGTGGACAGCAGGGATTCCTGGAGTCTGCTACTGTTGAGCATCACACTAGTAAGCCATGAACTATTTCAAAGCTGGATGTTGGGGGAAAAAGGGAAAAAAGTAAGAACCCACCATTGGTGGGATCTGTGACGGCTGCTACTAACATGTCTACAGCACAAGCTGTCTGTCTGCAATGGTGGTGCCCATCCAGGTAAGTCTGAGAACGCTTGTGGTAGAAGGCTGCTAGGAAGCTGTTGACAAGCTTATTCCTCTCTTGCCTATTAAGCTTCACACTGCAGTGTAACATGAGAAAATTTACCTCATTTCTTCTTAAAGTGTATTAGCCTGTATGGTATGAGTGGTGGTGATGTTTCTGAAAAGGAAGATGTCTTCTGTTGCAAGTCATGCTGTAGGGAGTGGGATGTTAATTAGTGTCTGCCTTACTCCTTACATAAGTTGATACCTGCTGGAGTCTTTGGAAAAGTCTTAGGGTGGCCACACCTTTAGCATGGAGGAAATCAAACAGCTGAGGGTAGTGGAACTGAAAAAAAGTTGAATTCAATGCAACTATTGCTTCTGCTTTGTCAGACTACATATTTTCCCATTCTTCTTGGCTGTCTTTTTATGAGGCGGAGTGGTCTGCGCCATGCTGCTGAGGACTGAACCTCATATCCAGGGTCCTCCCTCCCTTCTCACCATGGGCCAGACATACAGGGTGGTGCTATGCTTCTTGTTGGTCCTCATTGCTGTTGACTCAGTAGTGCCCATCGGAATCTTCTCAGGGTACAAGTTAATTCTGAGAAGATTCTGACTGAACATGAGAGGAAAAGTTCTCACTATGAGAACAGTCAACCATTGGAATAATCTCCCCAGGGGAGTGGTTGACTCCACCACACTGGACACTTTCAAGATGCAGCCGGACAGGGTGCTGGGACATTTTGTTTAGACTGTGCTCTTGCCTAGAGAAGTTGGACCAGATGATCCTTGAGGTCCCTTCTAATCTGGTGTTCTATGATTCTGTGATTCTATGATTCCATGACTCTGTGGTGCTGTCACCATTTGGAGGGCTTGCTTTTTCCCCCACTATGTCTTTTCCTCCTTAGGATGCTCTGTGATCATCAGAGCGCTTGCTCAATTTCAAGCAGAGGGGAGAGCAGTCTTTTGACAACTGAGTCAGAAGGAGGCCTTTACTTCCAAGTTGTAGTATCTTGAATTCACGCTACATGCCTCCTGGTGGCCAGCCCGTTCTCTGTGCAGTACAAAATGCTGGGGATGGTGTTTTCTAACATTTCTTGAGTATACCTAAGAGACTAGACAGGACACCACTCTTCTGCTCTGGCATGGCAAATCATGGTGTAGTTAGTTTAGGATACTTTCTGCTTTGTCTTTGCCAGCATCACTCTTTAAAGGAAATGGATTCTATATTTAAACTCAATTTGCAAACTGTGTAAACTGTTGTATGCTAAAAAAAAAAACCAACAAAACAAAAAAAACCCCTACAAATATTCCTAAGTGAAATTACATAATTTTCCAGAGCTCAGAAGTTGTATTATTTTGAAATAAAATCATGAGCGTGAGAAATATAAACTGGCTTGTAGATGTTCCACAGTGCTTAAAGAGAAATGTAGTTAAGATTGGCAATGTAGCATTTCAACAGGCAATAAGCACCTGTCACCTCGAGTGAAGCTCAGAAATATCTCACCATGGTATCTTCATTATAAGTATCAGCCTTTCTGACTAAGCAATATGAGTTGGTAAAAAGTATTTAATTATCTTTCATGAGTTTAACAACAGAGAGCAGGAACACAGAGGTGCAGCATTTTTTACTTTACTGTACTTGTACTCAGTAAAGCAAAAGACTCATCATGGTACAGGTCTACATAATGACTTCTAGACACCTGTTTTCTACAACCTAGTGCTCTGTGTTTGCTCTCAGTCTAGAAATAACTCAGCTGCATGCCACACATCTCACAGATGAGTGAAAAGTACTCTCAAGCCATTAACGTGCATACCATACACTACAAGTGTGCAACTTGGTAAAACATCAGAAGATTCATATTATCTTACCTTTTTTTTTTGTCGTATTTAATGGTTTGGAATAATCCCTAAGCGTTTGGATTCACACAATAATGATGATGTTGTATGTATACACATGTAAGTATCTAAAACCTGCATGATACCTTTTGCTAGCCTTTACTGTATTATTAATTCAATAAATAAATCCAGATTTTCAAATCTGTTCAGTAAATTATGCCTATCAATGATTCTGGAAAAGATATAAGGGGTTTGATCTTCTATAGCTCTGCATTGGACAAGTAACGTACAAGTGACACTGAACTCGGCAAACAATCTGAACCTGGTAGACAGAAACACTTTGCAATAAAAACTTCCTGAAATGTAACTATACAATCTCAACATCTGTGGCAGATGTAATTTTTCATGTTTGGTAAATGAACCAGGCTATTGCATTGAGACTCTGTCCATTGCTTTGTCTCTCAGCCTTCAGGTTCAACCAAGATTGCATCAGGCTTAGGATCTCCAGACAGACCCTCCTGGCTTACCTGACATGCCCTCGCTAATTCTTGCTGCCCAGGCTTGGGGCTAACTCCTGATTTTCTCCGAGACTTGATCATAGGCTCTCCCAGGACACTCACACCAGGACTAATAGAAAAACCTTCAGGAATACACGGCAGTAAAAGACTCCACATTTGTGTGGTGATAAGTCTGTTGAGTCTGTTCACTCAGATCGTGAAAAATAAACTGGACTAGGAAAAAATTGTAAACACTTTACAAATTTTCCTTCCTGTCTGATTACTTCAAATCACTCTTGAGACTAAGAAAAAAGTCTTGGAAAAAAATCCAGATCATCCTGAGCACACCTTGGTTTACCTTCTCAACAACTAAGTTTATCAGTCCAGATTTCTTTCAACTGTTCTTTTTTTTTTTGTCCTGCTTTGGAAAATTTCTTTCCCTGTTAAGTTGTTCTCCCAGCTAGAAGCTATGTTCTGTGTTCAGGTATTCACACCTCTAAAGACCAATCTCGAGTTGAAATGTTTCCGACTTGGAAAGCAAATGCAAACGCCTTGTTAGCAAAGGTGAATTTACAAAGATATTCAAAACCTGCAGCAAGTTCATGGCTATGTATTATCAACCAGAACTGACACCTTTTTTGTAAACAAATTTTGTAGATTCTTGCAACTCCATGCAAAAACTTTTCATTCTACTGCTTCTTTGCAAAGCAAGATCTTATTATTGATAGTCAGATCTCATCCAATGCAAAAGGAAATTTTCTCTCGTGAAATCAGCAGAGTTAATCTGCTCTAACCCTGGGCCCAACCCATAGGCCTGGGCCCAAAAGCCACAATATTATGGTTGGCCTGCATTCATTCAGAACTCCTAGGAAATGTATTGAGAATTGATTATCTAAAACACTGAGAATGAAAAAAAAAATAAGCCACCATATTGGGATAGTGGGGACAGCCCGCTTATTTCCAGTAAAAAAAAAAAAAAAAAGATACAAATAAGCCACCATATTGGGATAGTGGGGACAGCCTGCTTATTTCCAGTAAAAAAAAAAAAAAGATACTTCTATCTAGCAAAATGAAGTTATGAATGCAGCATAAAGTAACGTACTTGAGTTCACTTAATCTAGCAGGTTTATCACAACCCATGTTGCTTCATGTTACCTCTGACTGTTCCATGTCACGGTCAGCACAAGGATAACAGCACATGCCACGATCATATATTTTTCTAGACATGCTTGCCTTTTTCTTGTAAAATATGCCTCCTGAAGACTTAACATTTCACCTATATTTCAGGGTACTCCCAGGTTTGTAGATGGATCTACGGACACACTTCTATTTAAAGGATGACTCCTGAATCTGGCGGAGGAGCCAGGGCTAGTGTTCAGAGGCATGTGATGAACATCATTGCTAGCACAAACAGTTCCACTGAAGTTCCCCATCATCTAGGTAAACTCATGCATTTGTTCTTGTCTTTGAAAGACTAAGTCCTCAGACTAGACTACCATGGTTTTGGAACTCTTCAAAATTAAAGCTAATCCATGGCTCTAAATCTTCCTCACTATGTCAACTTCTGGATGACTTTTTTTTTCTCACCCCCCCTCCACCACCCCCATTTCAGACAACTGAAAAGCTCAAACTTACTTGCTGCATTGTAGGTGAATGTAAAGCAGACTGGACCTGCATTGGTAGCTGGTTTCCAAGGGACTGCTGCATTGAAATCGGCTGGTGTTGCTGGATGTTGAGGTGCTGGTGCAGAGGGGGGCTGATCTGAAGAGGTGGCGGTGGGGACACAGCCATGTTTGCTATGGAAACAGTCACTGGCATTTGGTTGTTGGGCTTGGGTGCTATGTTCCTGGGGATATTGGCATGCATGGCAGTGATGTGAGGATTCATTCCTGGTTGTTGGTGGTAGTGGGAACTGAGGTACAGTGCAGAGTGAGCCTGGGCTGGCCCATGAAACACCGACTGCTTTGAATTCATCATCTGAGGTTGCGGGGAGGCTTTAACATCAACAGGTTCACTGTAGCTCTGTTGAGAAAAAACAAAACCCAGACAATACTTAGAAGCTACAAAATGCTGCTGTTCTCCCCCCTGAAGTCTCTTCAAGAGTCTCACCATGGGAAAACACATAGCTGGACCATCAAATTGTCCTTGACATGGAGTTTGGTTATTACACCTTACACATTTCTCTTCAGCACTGTGAAAAAGAAGAAATTAGCCCCTCTGCTTCCTGGCCTAGCCTGACATTTTGCTTTTTCCAAACTTGGAACTGGCATCACTGACCTAATAACCTACACAACAAAGACAAACAAGCCCATTGCATTTGTTCACATAAGCAGCCATTACTGTTGTCATCAAATTTGATGGCCTAGTTGAACACAGATTCAGGAGGGTGGGTTCCCAGGTGGGTCTATAGTCATCTTTGACAGGTCCCATTTTCCCATCTGCAAAGCAGGGATAAGAATTTCTGTATCCTTTACCATACACACTTGAAAACTGCTAATAGTGCTTTACCAGTTAGCTAACACGATGAAGGGGCTAAACCCCATCCACAGTTGTTCTACTGCATTGAATAAAGGTGCTAGTTGCTGTGCTGATACCCTTATTTTGAAGTATTCTGTGCTGGGATGCTATCCACACCTGTATCAAAGATGTTTCACAAAGATGTTTCACATTCAGAAAAGTAAGAATATTCTGAATAATTTCACTTTTAGCAAAACTTCCTTTGTTGATCCAGTTCATAAAGTTCTGAAAATTCTGCTTGAAACTGATGTCTATATAAATGTTAGATGGCATCAGACAGAGGGAAGCTATCTTACTAAAGCTGGAAAAATATTGCATAGAATATTAGAAAATGCACAGGTTTAAAAAAATGTTAAGGTCTACCCTGATTTCTTAAAGCCGCTAGTAATAAAATTTTTTCATTAATGAATGTGAATTTTAATAATACTCTTTGTTCTAATATTTATAACTTGTTACATTTGATTTAAACTCAATTTGTTGTTTTCCATATCCTTATTTTCTTAGATCTTGTGAGTGCTAACTCTGTGGCCTCAAATAAACGATGAAAAGAATTTAAGAATTAACTCCCATGAGCTTATAGGTGGGAATCACAATTTGCAGTTAAGGCATACTGGGATTAATAGCCAGTGAAAGGTGAAACATGCTGGAAAGAAATGGCAGAAATGTCCCTCTGGAGAAAAAAGTCACTTTGTCAAAACAAGGGCTGAAAGATGCATATATGCCCTTATTCTGTGACCTCCATGTCATGTTTGCTCAGTTTACAAGTCAGAGTAAGTTTCATGTTACTCTCAGCACTCCAGGGTCAGTGAAGTCTATTTGTATTCTTTCTGAAGGATGTACCATCACCAACAATCCACTGACATGAACATTACTGAAATTGTTTCATTATAGGCGATGATAAAGACTAGAAAGATAACTTCATTTTCCCTATGTATAACTGCAGTTCCATTAGCAAAAAACCTTGTTTTCTCCAGTAAACTCCGGAAAATTAAATGAATATGGTAAAGTGAATGCAAATCTCTGCTTCTGTGGATCTTCCTGGCTCTGCTCACATGTGGATGTACACATGTGCAATATGTATTAAATGCATGTTTGCAGGATTCACGTACAGACATAAAACCCCACAGATAGTAAATGAGAAAACTTGAAAGTCAGTGCAAAGTCTGCCAGGATTTTGGTATTATTTTTAAAATACTGAACTGATGTTCATGATAACATGAGAAGTATTTTCCCCCTCTCTTCCCAGTTGTATTTGTAGGTCACTCTCATGAGTGTGGGAGCAAAGACTGGCAGGTTTGATGAAATTTCAGAGATTCAGAAGAAGGTTTTCTAATTAGCAGCATGGTCAGGACCCTTCTCTTGAGTGTCCCGGGCTCTTTACACATTACAAGAGGTGTATGATGTGGTCTTTCTTGAAAACCATGTAGTTTTACTGAGTGCATCGTCCCCTCATGAAAACGCCTTGCCTTTCCATGATGTTACTGGAAGGCTCTATCTGGTCCGACTGGGGATAATTGCTCCTGAAATGTCTAAGGGCAGACGGGTTAAACAATTCCTCCTGGTGAGGAAGTATCAAGAAGCCTTTGTGGCATTCTTTGTGACATACTGATACATACTTATATTTCATTTGTGACTACAAAGATGCTGCCATACGCATCTTTAACAAAGATACAGTGAACCAATTTAATTATTGAGTCATTCTGAGTTCACACAATGCATGGCCCATACTGACAAAATTACCCAGATATCAGATACCTAGTATCATTTAATACCTGAAATACCAAATTATGTTAAGAGGGATTGTACAGTCTCT